CAGCATATTTTAAAATGAAATGGAGATCTTTTTTAAAGGTTAAAAACTCAAGGGGGCTGGAGAGATGGTTCAGCAGTTAAGATCACTGGTTGTTCTTGCAGAAGACCTGGGTTCAAATCCCAGCACCCACATGGCAGCTAACAATTGTCTGTAACACCAGTTCTAGGGGATCTGACAGTCTCTTCTGTCCTCCGCAGGCATTGCACAATACGTGTTCACTTACACACATGTAGATAATACACACATAAACATAAAATGAAAATAATAAATAAATTTTTTTTTAAAAAAACTCATTCAATTTTATGTCTTACAGGGCTTGTACTGCGTTCAATACTGTATAACTGTATTAGTTCAACAGCGAACTTAAAAATTTTATAGCCACTTTCTAAAAAAAATTTAAAATATTTTTAAAATGTAGGAAACAGCATATTTTAAAATGAAATGGAGATCTTCTTTAAAGGGTAAAATCTCATTCAATTTTATATCTTACAGGGTTTATACTGAGTTCAAAATTGTATAACTGTATTAATTCAACTGTCAACTTAAAAATTTACAGCCATTTGCAAAAGAGATGTATCCTTGCTCTGGAGTGTGTTACTGAATATATTAACACTGTAATGAAATGCTTCTTCTAGTCAGGTGGTTATTAAATCTAAAAAAAAAAATTTTTTTTTAAATAATTCTTCAAAGCATAAAAATTTGCTCCTTAATAATTAGGAGATGTGAAAAACATTACCACTGAAATCTACCTGATGACTTTATATCCATGCTCAGATGCCAAGTAGCTCAGAAAATAACTAAGTGTGACTAGTAATAATCTGATAAATTAAGATTAGAAACGCCATGTGCAAACATCTTAGTGTCAACTGCATTAAAAATGAATTTTTCTGTATGAAACTGTGTATTTTAATAATGAAATGGAGATCTTTTTTAAAGGTTAAGACCTCATTTAATTTTATGTCTTATAGGGTTTATACTGAGTACAATATTGTGCAACTGTATTAATTCAACTGTAAACCTAAAAATTTACAGCCAATTTTGAAAGAGATGCATCTTAGCTCTGGAAATTGTTACTGAATATGTCAACACTGTTGTAATGAAATGATTCTTCTAATTATGTGGTTATTAAATAAATACTTAAAAAAAATAATGAAACTTCATGTAATTTCAATTGGGAAAGGAGAATTCCTCCCATAGGACAAAAATTGGACAAAGAAGAAAAAACAATGCTGTGTGTGTGAGAATACAGGAAATCTTTTATTTTTTTTATTTATTATTATTTTTATTTTATGTGTATGCATGTATTGCCTGCATGTACGTAAGTGCAACCATGTTGTGCAATGCCCATGGAGGACAGAAGAGGCTGTAGGATCCCCTGGAACTGGAGTTACAGACAGTTGTTAGCTGCCATGTGGGTGCTGGGATTCGAACCCAGGTCTTCTGCAAGAACAACCGGTGTTCTTAACTGCTGAGCCATCTCTCCAGCCCCAATACAGTAAATCTTAAGACATCCCAAGAGTTGTGTGAAGCTAAGTTTTTATTTCGGTTATCAGTTTTTTTTCTTATTCCTTAGCACTGATCTTATCTCACTAGGGAAATAAACTAATTTAAATCTCACCTAATATTGGGATGAGAAAAGATAATAGGGAAAATGATAGGAAATACTGTTCTCACTAAAAGACAGTTTTTCTTTTGCGATAGGATTCCATGTAGTCCATGCTGGCATCCAATTTAATATGCAACAGAGGATGACCTTCAACTTCTGAGGCCTCCGCTTCTATCTCCCAAGGGCTAGCACAGAGGTCTATTAAGTATATAATCTATTGTAGACTATAATATTAAATACTACAATTAAAGAACAAGGGGAAAAATTTTATTACCAAGGAAAATAAAGGTTATAAATGGAAAAAAAGATACTAGGTGTGGTGGCACATGCCTCAGCAAAGAGGGCCAGATCTCTGAGTTTGAGGCCAGCCTGGTCTACACAGCAAGTTCCATGCCACCCAAGGCTACCGAGGGAGAACGTCCCCTCACCTCCCAAAGAGAAAAAGATGCTAAAGTACATTATTTAATAGCAAAACGTAACTAGAGAACTCATGGGTTACTATCTGCTTACTGGCTATGAGAAGAGATCATGAGCTGAGTTGATCTCAATGGCCTTGTACTGAGTATCTCTACTGAGGAGTCAGGTTCCTTGTAGATAAAATAAGGGAACTTCAAACTTTTCTTCACTAACATCTGCTTATGTTAGGCCGTGAGTCAACAATACCCACAAGGTTCTGTTCTTACATAGCTTATGATCTCTAATCAAAGAGACAAAAAGAAAACTTCTACTATATATTACTAGGCACTGGCTTAACAGCTACAGATTATATAAACTAGGGTAAAGGGAAAGCAGGTGATAGGGGTGCTTTGTCTACTACTGAATTTTGTTTTCTATTCCCTTATCTTTTCAAAATTATTTCTGAACTTTGTTTTCTATTCCCTTATCTTTTCAAAATTATTTTGGATCTTCTCGTTTTATACACAACGATTCTTTAGGGAGCCACATAGGGATCTAAACCATATTAAAATATTTGATTTATACCACTTCCTAATTAATAAAAGAGTAGTGAAAATAAGGCATGTTTCTACCCATACACAAACATGAAAAATATACTCTAGTAATCCATCAAGCAACACCAAAACAAAAGTATAGCTAATCATATGTTGGCGACAATTCTGTATTATCATTTGCAACAGGGTATAGTCAAACATCTATATACTTAATATATTTTAATCAACTTGCAGGTTGGCTAGGGTATAGCTCACTAGCAGAGTATTTACCTTGTACACACAAGATAGTGAAGGATAAATACCCAGAAACTTAAGGAAAAAAAAAAAATGTCTAATCTATAATGGTTCAAATAACACTACAAGCCAGGCGTGGTAGCACACATCTTTAATCCCAGCACTTGGGAGACAGAGGCAGGCAGATCTCTGTGAGTTCAAGGCCAGCCTGGTCTACATAGTGAGTTCCAGGCCAGCTGGGGCTACAGGGAGACCCTGTCTCAAAAATAGCAAAAAAAAAAAAAAAAAAATCACTACTACAATTCTTAGATGGACTCAGGCCATGCTCAGTTGGTACAAGATAAATGTCATTTATGTTAATAATACTCATAAATAGTAAATTAATGAAAATATATTTAGATGAAAACATATTTAGAGAAGTGTATAGTATTATAGACATGTCTAGTTAAAAAGTAGACCTACAGAAGCATCTCTATAGACTGAAAATTATATTAAAACGCTAGAACTTACACTCTAGAGCTCTACTATACACACAATCCTAACGTTATTATGTACGCATCTGCTTTTTTTAACTCCAAAATAATCATCTTTGAGGGCAAGTACCTCAAGTGTTCTTTAAAATGATATGGGTCATTGGGTAAAGACACCTGCAGCTAAACCTAATCCCCAGGATTCACATGATGAGTAAGAAACAACTCTTACAATTTTTCCTCTGGCCTCCATATGCGTCTTCACACAAAGAAAGAAAGGAAAGAGAGAAAGAGAGGCGGGGGAAGGAGAGAGGGAGGGAGGGAGGGAG